TATGGCGTATTTGAACCATTGAACACAGATTTTTGAAGAAGCAGTAAGGCAAATCGTGAAAAAACAGGATATAAGTTCATACCATTATTGGCTAAAATATTTTTCTGGCGTTTCTGCTTCCGTATATTGATCCTATTATGTCTAGCGAGTTTCTTCTCTTCCTCCATGTGAAATTGTGTTGAAACTGTCGTAGGGCTGAGAAGTTGTAAAGGCATGTGTAAAAGTAGTTGAGGAAACAGGGGCCTAAAATCCGGCTATTTTTCGGTATATGATGCGCATCTTTATCGATTTTAAGGGTAAATTTTTAATTCATTCTAATATTTTTAATTAACTATCTAATTACTAAAAATCACAGTATATTATTATTCCAAATCGATAATTACACTTCTGCTTTATCCGATATACGTAGCAGTTATTTTTGGTAATACGTGTATGACATAGTGTTTTCAAATAAATTGCGTTTAAACATGTGATAATACACTAAATTATTTATTTATTAATTGATATTTAGCAATTCTGTTGTTGTTTACACTGTTGGTCAAATATTAGACGCTCGCATTGGCAGGAATTTTTGTTGTTGTTTCCTTCATCATTAACGGGATACGAACGTGAGGTAATTTTAAACTCTTAATGAAAAGTTGAAAACTAAGTTTGTCCTTTCATCAAAAATAATAGCAAGTATGATATAATTTGGTAGAAAGGATATATATATATATACAGACATTTGCGCGCACACGCAAAGACAAAAATATTATAAAGTGGAGAAAAAAATAGTAATAATCTAAATGCTTCAAAATAGAGGTTAAGCACACTTGAATAAAATAGATATGTATTCATTTTTGTTGATTACCAATATCCCTGGCTTTTTCCTGTTTTTCATCCACTTACTACTTCAATTTCCACCTTCAACTTTCATATAGTTTTCCAAAGTGAAACGCTGTTTTGAGTCCTAGCCAATTTTTTTTTGCGTTTTGAGATCTCTCGTTGCTTCATTTGATATTATATGACTTGCGTGTATGCTTCGTGACGTTTTTCGAAAAAGCTTTTGTGTAAATTTTTTATAAAATGTGATTTTTGAGTTAAAATGAGGCTACATTTGACCACGGTAATTATTTGTTGGTAAACAACCTCAAATTGATATTTTGACGATTTCGATAGGTTCGTATATTACTTTGGACTTGTATGCGTGCTTCACTGGGATACTGCGTGATCAGAACGTGTTTCGACGCATTATGTGAAATTTATACTACTCCAAGTTTTAAGTCGTAATTTTTTAAGTTTTTATTGATTTGATTTGTTGTATATTTTGATGTTATCTTTGATGATTTGAGTTTAGCGAGTTGGGTTTGTGTGATGTTATTACACGTTGTGCGTAATGTTGGTTCGAAAAAACCGTAGGGATAGGGTAAGGTGAATTTTAGTACTTTTTCGAGTATTTTTGTGATTAGTTATGTTTCTTCTAACCCATATTATGTATTCACTGTGATTTTGACTACGACTTCGACGCGCCGAGACGGTTGGAAAAAGGTGGAAAAGGCCATTGCGGACCAGATCTACGCCGGACTTAGAGGTGAGTAGTTTGGTATATGATGCCTGAGGGTTTGGAAACCCGGTTTATCACATTGTCACGCTATGTTAGGGCGTGAGCTCGCACCCCATGCAGTGCGGACTTGGTTATCTGGATGAGACTTAGTCCATCCCGCAACAAGATTTATCTAATTGGCGACTGATACGCACCCCTGTATTGAAGTATATCTGGCCTATTGTATCGTAGTTTGGGGCCTTGTGCCGATCTGTCATTGCATCCGTTAGAGGATGATTGTCATTGTGATAGCATGCTTGTTATAATCATTGATCTCATCTTGTGTTAATCACTGTTATGAAACGCTAGTCACTTTTCCTGAAGAGTTAAATCTAAAGTATATTCTTCTTAATAAATTGGAATTGGGGAAATTAATTGAATCATTACATACTTCTATGGCATATTGTGGACTGAGTAGATCGCGGCTGCACGCCGCCAGCGAATTCGTATGATTATATTGCACTTGGACTGAAGAAGCCCCTCCGGAGTCTGTACACACCCCCAGTGCACGCCGTCGATGTTAAATTGATCGGGTAGCGCCGTATGCGTTCATGTGCATTGCATTGCATCTTTACATTTATACTTGACTGATATATTTGCAAGTGTTCTTGCTGTTGGTTCGATTAGGTGCTGGACTGTTAGTTC